ATGTTCAGTTCATTGGATCAACACCCTAGAACCCTAGGCTAACAAATCAACTACTCAACCATGACACAAGAGAACACACAAATCATGTCTGAATAATGCATCAAATAAATCAAGTCTCAAGAGGGTTCAGTGATTTCTTCTCTAGAAACCAAGAGGAAGAAGCCTTGGCCCTTGCAAAATAACTAGAATGATCTTCAACCAAAACTCTCAAAAACTTGTGTAAAAATATTGTTTTTCTGTCTCTGGTCGAAAGTGAGAAGTGAGGAGGCGGCCAGAGTCCTCTTATTAGGTAAAATAGACTTCTGCTAGGGTAGACAGAATCTTTCCCGAAATAGATCATGGCTCATTAAAACGCGGGAGCAAGGTGGTGGAAAGGCAGGGGTTGCTCCGCGATGTGTGTGCCTACCCATGTGCTTGCTCCGCGAAACAAAACACTCTCTTCTTGCACCTTTTCACTCATGCGTACCTCCAGTGCAATCCAGCACATTCTCCACTTGAAATGACTCAAAACACACTAAGAGAACTCCAGGATAGCACTTAGATGATATCAAAAACACATGAGAATGGTGTCAAAAACACAACATATCAATCACCACAAGCTTTCGTCAAGCAAGCTTCTGTGTGAATCAAAGCGTAGTAACCCCAACTGCAAGAGTCGAGATTCTCTGCAAGTGGAGATAAGAAAAGTTTGAATCATTATTTCTGTCTCGGCAACCACTTCCTGAGAAGCCACTTTGGAACACTTGTTTCCTTCACCGAAAAGTTATTATATCACCTCGCACAACGTTCATTAGTTTGATTGTCGTGAGATCTTGGATCAAAATTCATGGCATGAAAGTCATGGTCTGTCTCGTCAAGCTTTGTTCTTTTCTCCACAACTAGGGAACTGAGATGAGAAAATTCTAGCAAGAATGTGCTAGAGAACATCTACGTCGGCACCTCGTTTCCAAAATTGGAGTTGATCACAGCTACAGCTTGAAAGGTCTCTGCTTTTGTGTTGATCGGCATGAGCTCGTCTTATAATCGCTGGTTCTTAAGACAAATCAGCAACGCCAAGTTCTGGTCTCATTAAGCTTGTGCCGAAGACAATAATTTATCTTATTCTCTATAGTTCATCAACACAAGCTCCTTTGTTAAGATCACGTCACTGTTATTCTCGTTGCCGGCTTGGTCTATGATATGCAGAGCTCACCAACATCTCAGCTCAGACAAGAGCGATACACAAAGATATTTATTCTCAATATTAACTAATTATTTTCATTAGACCACCTTCTTTTAAACGCCATATGCTCATCTGATAGTTTGGCAGTTGATTGTTTTATTAAAATTAGTGGCAAAGTTAATGGATTACAGCAGTCTACCTAAACCCTTATCTCTTGCTATTAAAAATAAAAATAATATGTTAGCCTGCATGTGAAGTCATAAAGCGTATCAGTTCTTACAAAATTTATTGATTTGCATGGTCTAATTACTAATGGGATTTAATTTTCTTTGTGAAGATTATATCTTTGGTGACACGATCTCGGCAACATGTGAAATCTAGATGATGACGCTCTCAAGCTCCACAACGAACAGCTTATACCTTTGGCGTCTTCAAGCTCCAAGAGCATCAACGAGCCCAAGCTGGACACCTCAAAGTCAACTCTGGTAATTGAAATAGCCGGCTCAAGCTACTCACCAAGGAAAATAAACATCATCAGCCACTTGCTCGGCATCTTCCCCTCAAAGACGAGCATTACTTGAAGACATAGTTGATTAGATCGTTCAGCCAAAGAGAATCAACAGATGGTTGCCACCATCTTACTCTCATGCTTCGAAGGACAGCTCTCAGCTACGAGGTTGTCGGAAGCGGTACAAGCGGCACAAGCCAGCGCGTTTCTCGACATCATCATAGCCTGACAAACATACAAACCAGTAACTTGCTCGACATACAACGATGATCTCGACACGAGATTTCGGGTCAGCAATAGTTTGGTAACCTTGTATATTAGGCACAAATTTACTTTGAACTTGCTTTCTCTTAGGCAGGAGTTTGCGAGTAACTCGCTTATTGTTAGACACGAGTTTACAAAAACTCGCCTTTG